AGGTGAAACCCTGAGTCCTGCCCTGCTCTGAGCACTGGTCTGGCTCCTGTCAGTGCAGGCCCTTTGCCAGCTTGTCTGTGCCTTGTGGACCTGGTGTTCTTGTGGCTCGTGACCATGTCCAGATGACAAACTGGCTGCTGCAAAGGGTTTTTGTATCAGTGGGACTGTGCCCCTCATGCTGTCACCTCAGCCTTCCTCGTCCCTACCGTACCAATCCAGCCGTGCCATCGGTAACCACCAGCTTCACTCTTTGTTTCCAAAGGATACAGTGCTTGTATCCACCCAAGGTGCTATCAAATCCAGGGTTTCTTCCAAAAAAACCTAGCCCCTTCATCCCTTTCTGAGCTGTGAACAAGACGACAGGGAGGGAAGGGGAAGGAAGCCAGGGCTGCAAGGAGCAGCTTGCGTTTTAGGAAAAGCCTGACTTGTGACGTGTAGCTGTTGGCAGATGGAGTTGTCTCAAATCTACCTCAGAGGCCATCTGTTGCTGCAGACCACTTTCCCCTCTTGCTCCTGCCCGCTGCCACCTCCACGTGCTGGCAGGAGATTTTGTGGAAAGCCAGATCCCACCAGCTTGATCCCTTGCTGCTGAGGAGCAGCATCTGCTTGGGGTTTCATGGGTCAGTGCCATCTCACTGAGCTTCTTTGGGGTGCCACACACCAGGCTGGGTTTGGCAGGTGAGCAGCAGTAGCGCCTCTCACCCCACACTCTCCTCCAGGGCGGACCCTAAGCTGGGCTTTGCTGTTGGTGCCTCTTGTGCAGCGAAGTCGGGCGTAGCTTTAGTTCTGCTTCGCCGCCGCAGGAACAGGCGACTCGTGTGTTCCCTTGGCTGGGCGAGGAGAGAGGGCACAGAGCTGTGGGGAGCTGGGGTGCTCTTCCATAGGCAGTCCAGGATTGATCCTTGGCGTGCCCCTTGCTCAGCTCTTCGGGCAACTGAGCTCTGGCTCTCTCCCAGTGCAATTCCAGCTTGAGGCTGGCGCAGTTGTTCTTCTCATCAGTCCTGTTTTGAGGAATGGGTGAGAGTTGATTTTCTGCCCCTCTTCGAGTTGAGTTCGGGTTTTTTCCTGTTTCTGTGGGTGCCTTTTGTCCCTTCCTCCCCCTCTCCTTGTTGGGGATGCACTGGAGGGAGAAAATGTTCAGGGATACGAGGACAATTGGTCAAATTCCTGTTGGTCCTCCATCCTCACGACCTATGAGTGTCAAACAAGAGATATTGGCAGGAGAGGGCTTCCCCCTTTCTCAGGGGAGCTGGGGAAGGAGGCTGGAACAGAGCCCTTGGAGGTATCTTGCAGTTGCTCCTCATAGCCCATGCTGGGTCAATGACACACATTTTGGCTCAGAGGCAATGGCAGTACCCACGGGGCAGTGAGACCAGAGGGGGAAAAGAGCTTTATGTTTGGGGAGGACATGGAAAAGGTCTAGTGTGAGAGGTTTTTCCTTTCTCCTCCTCTTTCCCTCCCCAGCCATCCATTGCCACGTGCCCTCCAAGGACGACTGCTGGCCGGGATCTCTCCGGAGCCTCGGCTGGTCCTTTCCACGGGGCCGGTGCCTCAACAGCAGCTGAGCTGTTGGCTCTGTTAACAGGTGACCCATAACAGCCCCCCAAAAAGCTGGCTGCTGAATGATTCCCCCTGCCTGCCTGCTTTGCTTCAGGCAGCTTTTCCACTTGCACAATGCTGTCTCTTCGTACAGTAGCTGATGATGCTTTGTATCCCAAGTGCCTTATGTTGTAGCCTCTGTGTACTTTAGCAGTAGTTGAAAACCCTCCCTCTTTACTATGTATGTACAACATATGCTACATTTATGTGGTTTTTTTGTTTTCTTTTTGATAGAGCTACTAGGAAAAGGGACAGTTAGTTATGGAAGCATTTCCATGTGTTCTTCCTATCATTTGTTTTTTTTAAACCTATAGGCGATGGGACTTTTTTTTTGCCCTCCCCTATATTTAGTCCTCAGAAATCCCCATCCTTCTGTTCGACCCAAACCTGGCAGGTTATGGGGTTTTTTTTAAGGCTGAGCCTTTGTTGTGAGGCGATATCCACTGTCATCCTGGAGGTTTGCAATCCCCTCTCCATCAGAGGGGCTGCTCCTGTCTCTGTGTTCTAGTCCAAGCACAATCCCTCAGCTGCAAGCCCACAGTAACTGCTTCTATGTCCGTGTCATTTCTCAGCAGATCGAGCCTTCTTTTCAGCCCAAAGAGCTTTTTTCTTTCCCAAATGGAGTGTTTTTCTTGTGAGCCCTTATTGGTCAGTCTGTCCTTGATTTCTCTGTGTATTAAATGCCACGAGCTCACTTCCCTTGAGTGGATGCTCCTCTCGTGCCCCATCTTGTCAAGCCCTGTGCTGTCTGCAGAAAACACCATAGAATCGTTGGGTGAGGTTGGAAACCACCTCCAAGGTCATCAAAATCCAGTCTTTAATCCAACACTAAGATCCAAGATCCAACCCCACACAGGAGCTCTTGTCCACCACAGTGCACAAGGTGAAGGAGACCATCCAAAACTGCAGGTCTTTACTTCCAGTGTGACACTGTTTCTTGCACCCTTCCTGTGGGCCTGAGGCTGTTTTTGTAGTCCGTGTCCATTATCCAACCCAAGGAGATCAGGAATTGAGTGATTTTGGGGGTGAAGCATAGTGCTCTCCTTTGCTAGCCTGGAAGAGCTGTAAAATACTAGCAGTAGTTCTCTCTTTCTGTCTTTAGATAGTTGGAGAATGGGCTTGGGAAGAGGAAGGGGTGGAGGAAGAACAGATGTAGCATTTCACATACAATTTTTGAGTGACTCTTACCTTATGGGGCATTACAGTTGCATTTTGTCTTGTTGTTGTTGTTGTTTAGGATTCTTTCTTCTTCATCCTGTTTGGGTTAGTAGTAGACAAGTTCCAGTTCCCCTGTAGGTCCCCTTACCTTCAACACACTGTTCTAAAATGTATAGTAGGCTTCCTGGTTGGAGTGGGGAAGAGTGGCTACTCTAAGATGTCTCTTCCTTGCCTCCAAGTGACTCTGGAAGCTTGGAGCTACCCTGTCTTTGCTGCAGTGCCTGTGGGTTCACAGCAGCCTCGGGCTCTTGCCTTTGGTAGATGGACCCCAAATTGTGTCAACAGCGGATAGAAATGATGGGGTTTGACTTACAGCCTTCCAGAAATAAAAGGTTGGTTTGGTAGGTTTTATACCCAACAGTGAAATATGTTCCTTTGGCTCTGGGCTGTGTGTGGAGTTTTGCTGGGAAGAATGGCTGTTGGAAAAGCCAGGCAGAGGCATGTAGTTCCTCCTCAAAAATGTTGAACTCGATGGATCAAACTTCAGCAAAGGAACTCGAGGAAAATTTATCTTCTTCCATATTTCCTGATTTTGGAGTGGGTGGGGGGAATTAACAGTCTCTGGTGTTTTATCCTGTTTGTTTCATTCTTCCTGTCACTTCAGTTTTTGTACGGATTTTGTTTGTTGTTGTTCATTGTTAAATGACTCTTGTGATAAACTCAGCAAAAGTATTTTTCTGAAATAAATGAATAAAAGGCATAGATTCTTCCACTGCTGCTGTCCAGTGATGCTTTATCACTTCTAAGCTGTACATGTGGCAAAGCAACTGTGATGGGTTGTACTGGTCTTTTCTCCTGTCATACCAGGCTAATCTGTTCCCTTTGCAGCATCTTGTGTCCTCCTATTCATGGAATCATGAAATGGTTTGGTTGGAAGGGACCTTAAAGCTCATCTGCCATGGTCAGGGACACCTCTCACTAGTCCAGGTTGCTCCAAGCCACATCCAACCTGGCCTTGGACACTTCCAGGGATCCAGGAGCAGCCACAGCTTCTGTGGGCAACCTGTGCCAGGGCCTCCCCACCCTCACAGGGAAGAATTCCTTCCCAATATCCAATCTAAATCTACCCTCTTAGCTTAAAGCCATTCCCCCTTGTCCTGTCAATCCATCCATGCCCTTCCAGCTGGGCTTCATCTTCCCGCATTGCCCACGTCCACAGCACGGGCAGCTGCTCCGGAGGTTACTTGTAGCTGCTTACATCACAGGGAGTGGTGGAGAAGGGTACTTGGAGGAGATGATCTATCTGATGTGGTTTAGGCGCATATTTTTTGGTGAGTTGAATTGTATACTTTGTGCAGCTGGCCCGGGGATACGACATGGCTTGGCTCAGGATTAGGTTACGGTTTCGTAGCATGTGCAGAAAACAGTTTCAGACTTTGTTTTCTACAGCTCCAGTAATTTCATCTGTAAGCACCTGGTCTCTTGAAGAGTGAGGTGGACCAGAGATACCCGGTGTGATCCTCGGTCAGAGTGATCAGCAGCACAAAACGGGCCCAGAAGGGAAGAGCAGTGACCTTTCCGAACAAGGGGAGCAGGAGGGAGCTGTCATGTGGAGACTCAGCTGTCTGAGGGGAAGTGGGAATCCACAGCACAAAAGCTGGTTTAAAGAAGCATTTTGTTCCAAAGTGCTTTGTTCTCCTCTGTGTGCATGACAGCTGCCTCTTTTTTTTTATTTGTGCTCCATGGCAATACCTGGCAGGTGACATTTGGGGTGATAACATCCCTGCCACGTTCACCTTCGTGGAGAGATGAGTAATGTGACTCTTAAGTGGAGCACAAGTGTCATAACTCTATTGCTATGCCAACTGCCTGTATTCCCTTTTCCTTGGAGCCCTGCCTGGTGACATGACAGGCTGCATAAGATGGGTTTAGATGGTATCTGAGTCCTAAAATCATTCTCCCAAACTTTTGTTAAAAACATGCAGAGCTGCTGGGAGCAGATTTGTGTCCAGACCCCTGCTATCTCCAGAGAGCCAAACTCACCACCCCATTTGGAGTAAATCCAAAATGTCACTTTGTGGAGTTTTCCCCCCCTCCCTTATTTTAATCCTTAACTATTCCAACCATTGAGGTAATTCTATTTAAAACAGATTTACTAACACTTTTATAGCAACTGCATTTTTATTGCAATTTTAAAACATTGTAAACTGGCAGTCTTCACTATTTGAGGGTGAAAGGCCCTTTTGACTGAGAGAAAACTAGAGTGGTTTTCACTCCAGGCTTCGGAGAGCTTTAGCTCTCTAAAATACTGCACCAAAAAGTTGGGAGATCAACAGGAGAACCCAGCTTTGGTTCTCAGAAATTTTCTTCTGTGAGTTTCATTTCAACATCCAGCAGTTGTGAAGTTGAGTTTGGTGTTGGCCAAAAGGGCAGGGGGAGGTTAGGGAAGAAAAAAGTTAACAAAACAAGGGTGGAATTAGCTGGCTCTATGAAAGGGGGAGAGTGAGTGAAGCAAAGGTGAAGACTGGAATATCCTTTTTGGAGTACAAGGTCTTTAAGTCATCTGAGTATTTAACTGCTCATCTTGTGCTTCAGGTTCTGGGAAAAGATTACTAGGGAAGGCTCGAAGGAAGTCACGGTAGTTTACATAGTCTTCTCCACAGGAACAATAGTCAATGAGCTGTGGGGACAAAAAACAACAGGCACCATAAAGAGTTGGAACAAGCTGCAAAATCAAGGATTTTTTTTTTTTAGGGGAAAGTGCCCAGATGTGTTGCTTTTGTGTCAGAGCAGAAGATCTTTTTCCCCTGTTGGAAGAGCCTTGGTAGTCCTGAATCACAGGTAAACTTGGAATCATAGAATCAGTAATGTTAGAAAAGACCTGCAAGATGAAGTCCAACCCTTAGATCATCAAGTCCAACCATTTAAGAGTTGGACTTGATGGTCTAGAGGGTGGACTTGTTGATCTAAAGGTTCATGTCCAACCTTGAATGCCTATAGATGACACCAATCTATGCAAGGAGAAGAGTTAAAAGTGTTTGAGTCTAATCTTGATTTCCTTCTGGGCATCACCACAGTGGCAACAGACCCACAAAAATACAAAGCATGGCCACAGACTTGACACAGGCCACAGGAAATCTTCCAGAAATCCCTGCCAAAAGTGGGATGGGGGCAGCGTATCTAACTGTCCCTGTTCCCTGGTGTCACTTTGGTGAGTGCACATGGCATGAAGGGGAGACACAGATAATTGAGCTCAGAGACAGCCCGACTAATGAGCCAGTTTCTGGTGTCCGTGCCTGACCCTGCATTGTGTTACAGAGCTACAGCCTTTGAGTGCTTAAGGGGGAGAAAGAGGGCTTTTGTTTCTTTAATTGCATAACTAATCTCCTTCTGACACCCAGGGAGATGGAAAAGGTCTAATATCACAGCTCCTTGAAGGGATTCTTCTTCCCCTTGTCGCCTGGAGACAGATTCACCGGCCTTGCTCTGGGGTGACTGACAGCTGTGCTTTTCTCCAACCCAGGCAGCAGTTCACTCTCTGCCCTGTGTTTAATTCATATCCCTGCCACGCTCCCGAGGGCTCTGGGAACACTGGTATTAAGATTGCAAGAGAGAAGAGGGATGTTTTCAGTATGTAAGTCCTAGACTGGGGGTTTCACACGTGGGGGTTTAGTCTCGGTTGTCACAGGTTCTCCAGCCAGTTTTAGTCAAGTCACTTCCTCTCCCATTCTCAGATGGAGCAGGAAGGACCCACCACACTGTAAATTCCTCAGGGTGGAGGGAGCTCTGATGAACTGTAGCACAGGAAAGCCCTGGGTGCTGGCCAGGGCCTTAATTCATCCACATTCAAAGACACAAATCCCCTGCCTGTGCACCTTTCTAGCCATGGCTGGGATGCTCCCACTTGGCTGGTTTAGAAAATTTGTTGTTTTAGCAAGGGAACTACTCCCTCTGGTTTCTAGATGTCTCTAAACGATGAGTCTGCCTTTATTGGTTACCAATCTACTGCCTGTTATATGATGCCAAGGAAGCATCCTTGCCAGTCATATTCCTGAAAGGAATTCATGCCTGCTGCATGAATTCTTCTCTCAGTTTCCCTCACATTTTCTGCTGTGCAGACTGTGATCTCCACGTGCTGTTGCTCATAGTCCCCAACAAGTGTTAACCAAGTGGTCATGATTCTAATTTCTTTTTTTATTAATTATTATTATTATTATTTAATTTTGGGGGACAATACTTAGTTCTTAAACCTTCAGTTCAGTCGCTGCAAAACCCAGAATACCTCTAAGCACCTCAGTGTCACCTCTACTCGATCCCAGCTGTGCTGGACAGACATTCCACAGGTCTGCAGTAGCCTATCCCTGATCTCTGTCACAATGCAACACCTCTTCTGCTCATCCAAGACCTGAGCCAGAAGGAATGTTCAGGCTTCACAGGACAGTGCAGCCAAACATTGGGGGCAACCTGGGTAACATTTCTTCCCCTTCCTTAGAGAACAGCAATTATTATCTCCTCTAAGACACAGGCTCAGTCCAACAACTCAGAAGCCTCCTAAATCGGAACTCTCTTGCCCTTTTCTTGAAGCTGTTCCTCTTTGTAGGGTAGAGCAGCTGGTTAGGTTTGGTTTTTAGAAGAGATTTTTGGAAAAACTATAGGAGGGGAATTCCATATGCAGAGCACCCCTTCCTCCTGACCTTTTTAAGAAGAATGGTGCTGATTGGCACTTCCAACCTATCACAGAGGTCCAAAAATTTTCCTTTGTCCACAATTCCAGAGCCATCCTTGTCACACTGATGAAACGCCTCATGAAACTTCCTGGTGTTCAAGTAGCTGTGACGGAGCTTCAGCTCTTTCTGAACCTCCTCAATTAAGTCATCCAGGTCCTTCTTGGGGATGTCACTGCAGAAGAAAGGAATAACAGGATTTCATGTAAAAGCTGACTCTGGCAGCCTTACTGTGACACTTGTGTGAACAAGGAGCATTTCCCTGTGTGCTCCACAGTTCTGGGAACTCTGGGCAACTCAACTTTCAACCAGGGCCCCTGAACTACCATGATACTGCCTCCAAACAATGTTCTGAGGGAACATGGTTGTTACTGGGTCACACAAACTGGGTCTAGAGAGCTAAAAAAGAGGTTGTGGTCCAGGCTCTGATGGTCTGATAAGCAAAGAAGGAACAAATGTCAAAAAGAAAGACTCCACCAACTGCCCGCTAAACCTTCAATGATCAAGTAGTTCAATTTGGCAGTTACAGTGAACTGATGGCTTTTGGGAAAAGGTGTCCCCCCCATCCCTGGAACTGTTCAAGATCAGGCTCTATGGAGCTCTGAGCAACCTGCTCTAGTGAAAGGTGTCCCTTTCCATGGCAGAGGGGTTGGAACTAGATGAGCTTTAAGGTGCCCTCTAACCCAAACAATTCCATGATTCCATGATCTGGTTGAAAGTGTCTCTGCTCATGAGCCAGAGTTGTCCCACAAGGGGTTTTGGGTCAGCACCAGCCACGATATTTTATTGTAGACACTTCACCCCCTCTGTATGTGTCCAAACACAGGCTCTTGTAGTTGAATAACCAGCAGAGCAGCCAGCCCATGGAGGCTGCTGAAAATGCCCTTAGATGTCAACCCTGAGTGTTATTTAGCCCCACAACGCCATCCTTTGTAGCCTACTTGTTGACAGTGTCCTTTACTGCCTTCCGTGGGCGAAAATGATCCCTCAGGGATTGCAGTGTTGTTGCAGGGAAACATTCTGCGTTTCTTTCCAAGTAATTAAGCACATATTCGTCAGCATCAGTGATAACAAACCTGTGGCCAAACACTGGGGAAGAGGCATTAAAGAAAGAAGTGTTACTTGTGTTTCAGCATGGGCAAGTCCCTTCCTCCAGGAGGGAGCATGATTCCTCTCCTGAGGCTGGGCTCAGCTTTGAGCCAGCTCTGCTATTTGTTTCACTTCTTGAAGTGAGAATAGTTTCACTGATTCAAATGTACACCAGCTGCTGATCTGGAAACTCAAGTGTGATGAGACCCAGAAGCAACAGAACCTTCAAGTGAAGGAAGGGATATGCACTGTCCATGCAATAAATGTCATATCAGGGCAGAGTATTATCAATCCAGGCTGGATTTTACCTTCAACTGTAGAGCCAATGGTGAAGTCAGAGGGCTGAAAGTATATAGGATCCTCTGGAGTAGACCCTGGCTTAGCAACTCTGGTCCTTCTTAAGTATTTGCCTCCAGGGATGCCAGAGTTTCGGATTGGGGGTTCATAGATGCTGATTGTGTCATCAGAGAGGAAATAGGAGAGGATGAAACGACGATTTCTGTCCTCAGGCACTGGTGATTCCTAAAGCAAGGGCAGTGGGTTTGGAAAAGAACGTTTCAGTCAGGTTTTCCTTTCCTGGGGTGCTCAGGAGTACCTGGTAACCCACTCATAAGCACCCAGAGCTCACAGCTTTTTTTATTGCCGACTAAACAAAGCTCCTGGTGTGCCTACATAGTGTAACAAAGCCCTAATTTCAAAGGTTATGTGCTCTACTCAGGGTAGCAGAAGCAGAATCTGGGCTGCAGTGATCAAGTATATTCAGTGTTTCCACAGATTGAATAATCCAAGAGAAAGGAATATCCTATATGGAATGATACATCCCAGAGAGGCTGTAAAATTCAGTATTAAAGTTACATTTTTTTCATTCTACTGAGTGCCTGAGAGAGGTTAGTGCTGCTTCAGCTCTTAGTCACAGGAAGTCACTCCCTTGACACACCAGTGGGTTTACTTGCCTCCTTTAAAATTAAGTGAATCTGAACTTGTCAGCTGTGACCTTTCGGGAGCTCCTGCACAATAGGGAAAAGAAACCAGCCCTTACTCACCCGGAGTGTTTGGAGAGGGCAGGCACCAGGCAGCACAGGAAATGCCATTGCTACTGCTGGATGTGCCAGAGGCTCCTTGCATAAACCAACTGGAAAGCTGGCACAAAGGCCAGGGCCTGGATGCTCTTGGAAAACACTGGACACTCCAGCTTCTACGCTGGCATTTGGCTGCTGTGCTAGGACAGCTCTCTGCTGGCTGCTGCATCCAGGAGTAGCCTGGAGAAGGGCAGGTGCTGGAGCCAGCAGCAGAGACATCAAGCTCTGGCTCGTGGCAGCAGTTCCAGGCAGACAGGGGCACAGTGCCCAGTGCACTGGGCTGTTCCAGTCAGGGCCATCTGTCACGTGCCGCTGGCAGTGGGAGTTTTTCCATAAATGGCTGTGGGTTTGTGGCATGTCTGGTTGGTACTTTCTGGCCCCTTTTTTTTTCCCCTACATTCTCGTGCTGCTCATTGTCACAGTGAGCACACAGTAACCCGCTGGCATCCCCCAAGGGACACTCGTGCTGGCTTGGGGAACTCTCTTCTCCCACTGGCACAGAGAATTTGCCAACAGCCTTGTCTGAGCAGGCTGCTCCTCCCATCCTCCTGACTCTACCACACAAGCTGGCCCTATTCCACCAAGGAAAGCACTTACCAGGGCCGCCTGGTACCTCAGGACCTTGAGATTATTCTCCAGCATCTTAATAACATCCTTCTGTGGACGCTTTGGAATCAGGCGGAGGCAGTTCTGGATAGAGTCTTCAGGGACACCAAAACCATTGTGGGGAGGAATTACCTGCATCCAGAGGAGATATCAACCATAAACAGCTGAAACTGAGAAAAGACAAAATTTGCAAGACAGCTTATCAAAACCCATCTAATTTGGAAGGAAATGTTCTGTCACCAGGTAGCAAGAGCTGTGACAATCTGCCCAGTAGAGATGCTACTGGCCTGGCCATCTGTTATATAAGTGCAGTCAGACTTTCATTTTTGTATCGATTATGACCTTTCTTGCCTTGTCTTCTTCAAATAACTCGTTTTTTTCTTTAAACTGAACTTGTTTTCTATAGGTTCTTAATAAACTGAACCTCCAGAGCTTATACCAACTACTTTCCTCCCTTCCTTTCAGAAACTGTTTGCAGTACCTGTGGAACTTTCTCGAATGGTTTCTCAGTGATTTCCAGTGGCTGGAAGTCTGTGATGCCATATTTTTCCCGATAGAAGTTTTGTGTGAACTTGTCACAATCATAGATTAAGAAGGTGCGTCCAAGGAGGGTGATGGTTTTGCCAATAGCAAAATCCCTGGGTGAGTACCACTCAAGTACCTCCTCGTTACTGATCTCCAGCACACAGCTTGGGAAGCCCACTAAGGAACAAGGGAGCAAAAGGAAAAATAATTTAATCAGGTAGATGTTAACATTGCTTAGTGAAAAGGGATATAAAAGCAAGCTGTGTAAATAGCTCCAGGGAGCTGTTGGCAACTGCTGTCCAGCCACTGTTTCCCAAAAGATAAAGAGTGTAGTGATCACTTAAAGAGCTTTTCTTTGACCATAAAACAGGGACACTTGGAGTGTTCTCAGCCAAGTTTCTCCAGACTCAGTGTACCTCTGGCACAGGCACCACGGATGTGTCCACCCACCAAGGCACTTTAGCCCAGACAGACGTGCCAATCTAAACTTACTTTTCTTTTCCGCGAGGGTTTTGGGCAGGCGCTGGCGTTTCATCAGGACTGGGAATGGGTCTCTCCCATCATTCCTACTGTACACTTCCCGAACCTCCACTGTGTCATCTGCCAAGAAGTAATGGATGATGCAACGATGCTGGTCACCAAAGGGGTGGTTTGTGTCATCCCATATGGCGTAGAAGCGAAGGACCTGGGGTGGAGAAAAGAGACACAGACAATCATGGATCTGAATCACCTTTTGATGCCAAGAAATCAAACTGCTCACACTGAGATGCTCAAGAGTTTCCCAAGGTCCAGCTGCTGAACAGGCAACCCAATAGCCATCAAGGCTAAACTGGCAGGAAACTGGAAGTTACGGCCCAGCTTGCATCAGCAAAACTGTCTGCTCCACTCAAAAAAGGGGGAACATATCCAAAATGGTATCTGGATACAGTCTTGGTCTGTGCTAACCCCTATCTGATGGCCAGGAGATGTTTGGTTGATAGCTGGCCAGAGACAACATGCAGAACTTGGTTTGTATCCCAGCCCTGGTTTATTTTCTAGTACTGAGGTAGTCCATAGGGTTCCTTACATTGTTGCTACATGAAAAGAAGATCCAGAGGAGCAGAGAGGCCAGTGTTAGTCGACTGTGTGCACAGGGAGAACTCAGTCAGAGCAAGTGGCAGTTTTGTTTGTCTGAAATTGCCTGCTCTGGCACCTGGCATCAGTGTTCTAGGGTGAAGAGAGGAGTGGATGCAACATAACCACTCATGATAGAACTGCATCTGGATGCTAAATTCCAGAGGCAGGTGGCTTATCTCATCCCAAAAGAAAGCAAGAGAGTAATGGATGATCTAGAGCACAGGCTCTGCAATCTAAAGAGGAGCTGGCAAGAGTTTACAAGGCACAAAGCCCAGAAAAAACATAAAAGGTTTTGTTTCTCACTAAAGCCAAGAAAGGAGTAAATCTGGAGTCTCTTCAGCAGACTGAGGTGTTTTAGAATGAGGAAGGTTGCAGACACAAGACTTGTGTTTCAGTGGCACATATAGTCTGTAATCACAGAATCACCTAGGCTGGAAAAAAAACCTCTTAGATTATGGAGTCCAACCTTTGACCAACCTCGTCTTTGTCAACTAGACCATGGCACTAAGTGCCACATCCAATTGTTTCTTGAACACCTCCAGGGATGGTGACTCCACCACTGCCCTAGGCAGCCCCTTCCAATGTTTAACAGCCCTTTCAATGAAGAAGGTCTTCCTGATGCCCAACCTGAATCTCCCCTGACAGAGCTTGAGGCTGTTTCCTCTCATCCTGTCCCTTGTTCCCTGGGAGCAGAGCCCGACCCCCACCTGGCTCTACCCTCCTGTCAGGGAGTTGCAGAGAGTGAGAAGGTCCCCCCTGAGCCTCCTTTTCTCCAGGCTGAGATCCCCGAGCAACCTCAGCCACTCCTGGTGCTCCAGCCCTTTCCCCAGCTCCTTTCCCTTCCCTACACATGTTCCAGTCCCTCAATGTCTTCTCTGAAGTGAGGGGCCCAGAACTGGACACAGGACTAGAGGTGCCTTACAAGTGCTGTGTGGGTAATCCCACAGTGTGTGGGTAATCCCCAGCTCTCTCACCTTTGTGTCATAGGTCAGGAACTGCCAGAGGGGGTCGGGACCTGCTGGCACGATGGGCTTTTGCACAGGCGTCCGGCGCTGTTCTGTGTAAGGATCCGAAACCATTTGCTCTGGAGGGTTCAGTACAATTCCCTGGCTCTCCATGAACACCTACAAAGGTCATCTGAAGTGTTAATGTGCTGTGAGTTTGAAGGTAAGAGGTAACTAGAGATTACAGGTGGGCAGAGGTGAGGGAGGTCAGAATACTGCAAGGTCATTCCTCACGGAGAACTCTACTGCAATAACAAATACAACAGATGACAAGGATATTTGTTTAAGCTACTTCTTAGCTTTTCTCACCCTTTAATTAATCAGAGTAGTCCTGTCCTCAACATCCTAACTCAGATTTCACTTGAGCACAGTTTTCCTTGGCCTTAAGGCCTTAAAAAGAGGATAACTGTCAGTTGGTCTCTTTCATATAAATGAGAAAGGTTAACTTGGTATTTAACACAGATGAAGTCAGCCTGAATTTGCAAGAGACTTAGGGCTGTGTCTGACTGTGAAAGTCAGTGTTACCCACACTAGGCCCACCAAGACCTTCCAGGCATGAGGATATGTGTCAGTGGCAGCTTCATTCTATCTTTCAGGAGTACTTTTCCCACAGAAAGACTGCCACCTGCCTGTTTATGAAGGGTTTTCTTGCTTGCCTTGGATGCATGAACAAACTCTAGGGTGTTACTTGTGTACTCGCATCATTCACTCAAAACAACCTCTGAAGTCAATGGATTTGTTCTCTTTTTTGCCTTGGGAAGTGGCCCATGAAAATATTCAGCCCAGGAAACACCCATGCAAACATCTCCAAGGGGGATGTGAGATCCCCCTGAGGACTCACAAGGCAAGTTCACACTTTCAGACTCACTATTTTCCAGTCTGGAGGGTGCAGGTTAATGATAAATAAACTGGTGGCCTGGAGATATAGACCCATGTAAGCTCATTCCATGTTTTCCATCAATATTAGCATGAGGATGAGCTTTCATTTGATGTGAGCTGACTTCAACAGTTCTCCAGTTCCAGCACAGCTGGTCCCACAGCCACTTATACACCAATTATTATACATGTTTGGGAACATTCCTGGGCATTGAGGCCAACTGGCAAGGAAAAGCCTGAATCTAAACTCTCACAGCTTCCAGAACAGGTTGACTGTACAAAACTCACCTACAGGGAATGGTCCCTGGAACATTCTAACTCCTGGCCTGGAAGAATAGTAGCTGAGCAGGGCTAAGATTATCCTGGGGACAATCTAACAGGATACCAGTGTACTGGTAATTGTTATAACTTGTTATTGGACTGTTGTTATCTCATTTACTGGCATAGAAATAGTGAGAAATAGAAAAGCAGGCAGTGAGTAAGCTTTTAGAAAGGTCAGTTCACACCATGATTCCCAGCCCATGGATCATGGCTTGGCTGTGGATGGGTACAGAGTTATTGATTTTATTCCCTCCCCCATGTCCTAACAGAGGAATATTAAATCAGAAAACAGTTAGGATCCCTAATTTCCTTCTCATATATGCAAAATGTTTCTGCACCCAGAGGTGAACTTGGAATTTGTACTGCAAGGTGAAGTCCTGAGGACAAAGGATGGATTCCCAGCAGTCCTGGGGCAAAAGTACTGAGCAGTTCACACGCCCTCAGCAAATATTGTACCTTGAACTCCCCACTGGCCTGAAGAAAGAAATCTATACAAAAATAAAAATGAAAGGTTGTGAGCTACAGATGCAAGCTGCTGGACTCTAACAGGTCTGTCCACCTGTAAATCCCAGGATTCTTTCTGTCAGTGTTCCCTGTACAAGCAACCCACCTTGGTGAAGGAGTCGCAGTCGACTAAGCGGTACGTCCTGCCGTACATGGTGATGTTCGTGGCCAGATTCAGGTCCTTCCAGTGGTAATAATCCCCCTGGTCATTCTTGGGCACCCGGTGGCGCCTCATAAGTTTGCCTTGAATGAGCCCAGAGTTCTTCACCACAGGCTCTATGACACACATGCTGTCGTCTTCCAGGTAGTAGTAGATGCCCACTTGGCGGATCCGGTAATGCTCCTCCGCAGAGGTACGAACCTCTTCCTGGAAATAGGCATCGAACTTCAAAACCTGCCCAAGGGACAACATAACAGAGGGAGAGAGAAAGAAACAATTTGAACACCGTGATTAGTCTATTAAGAGCAATAATTCATTTTTAATTTGCTCTGGCAGTGCAAAGTTACTGGACTATATTCTACTAAACCATCAAACACAACCGTGGCCAAATCTGTGAGTGATGGCAGAGGCACCGTGAGGGCTTTTATCAAGACCTGTCTTCGACAAATTTGACATGCATGGGACAGGTATAAAAATACAACCTTTTCCCTGCTCCTCCTTAATCACATGCTTATTTCACCTCCTGCTGGGTGCTAGGCTGTTGACAGTAATCTGCTTTACTGACATATGTGACTCTTTATTTGTCAGCTTTACAGCCCCTGATTTAGGGAAGTTATGAAGAGATTTTAATAAAAAGTTCAGCCACAGCTGAGGATTTTAAAATCTGCATGGCTCATCATTTCAAAGCCAGGTTGGATGGGGCTCTGAGCAACCTGGTCCAGTGGAAGGTGTCCCTGTCCATGGCAGGGGGTTAGAAACAAGAGGATCCTTAAGTCCCTTCCACCCCAACCTATTCCATGATTGTATGATCTGAAGTCACATCTATTCAGCACTGACAGGAAAACCTGATATGTGCTGGGGAAGCAAGGAAACTAATCAGCCAGTCCCTGTGCCTGGCAGAAGTAGGAGGAATATTCTCTCCAAGATCATTCAATGCCCCTAAGAGGATGTAGGTGGCCAATCAGGCCTTGCATACCGAGCCTACATTAGCCCAAAGGCCTGGATAATGAAGGGATGATAAAGCCACCAAGTTCCTACCAGTCAGCAAAGTGCCTCACAAGGGACCATGACATCCCCAGCAGCACTGAGGCCCCTGCTGCTCCTCTGGCTCAAAGGAAGGGGCAGAGAAGGATCTTAACAGAATAAACAGCAATGTCTACATCACTCTGAAGGAACAGCCTCAGTAATTAACACAGCACATCTGTTCCCCAGCCTGTCTCACAGACGGGCTGAGCGTTGGCTGGCTCCAGACTGCTCTCCCAGCCCTGGCAGTGTGAGGAGCCCTGCACGTGCCGAGCTCCAGGAGCCTCTCACGGAGCTCTGCAGCCACTGCTCTGTCCGTGGCTGCCAATTGCAGGATGGGACACTGGAGCATTTAAAATCAAGGACTGCCCTAAGCAGACACAGAGCCACCTCCTAGTCCAATATGATCATCAAGTTGTAACTCAGGAAGTACTAATGGGGCTGCACAGGCTGGGACATGCTGTGATGACCAACACAAGCATAAATAGATAGACCACAGTCAGACTATCAGAGTCCCCACTGCAGACTGACGTTTCCAGTTAAAGCTCAGTTACAATCTCAATACAGTTTTGGAAGCACAAAAAGCCAAGGCTGTGGCTTACAGAGCGATGGTTATAAACTGGAGCTTTTCAGAGTTAATCAAACCTCTTTTCCAACCCTGCTGGAAATGCTGGAGTGTAACTTGCAGGGAATGTCTTACATCGTTTACGTATTATAATCCTCCTCCCAGGCAAAGAAAGCCTCTTTCAGTCTGGGGTTCAGCTGTCTCTGACTAAGGGCTGTGGCATCTGAAAACTGCTGCACACAGCCTTGTGAACCCTGGAGCCGAGTGTTTGTGTCTCCGAATTTGGCCAGCGATATTCCTGGAATAAGCTTCTTTATACCTGTTTGTCAAAAGCCACGTATGACGGCATGAAGGGTGGAGGCGGAGACTTCTTGGCCGGCCCGTAGGTCAGGGTGGGTCCCTTTGTGCATAAATCATCCAGTTGATCTTGAGAGAGCAGATTCGGGAAGATCGTCTCCCCGCCAACCCCCTCCCTTGGCAGCTGGGAAAAGGCATATCCATTTCTGAAGCCCAGTGTGTGGGACCGATGAAAAGACGTTCTCTGTGGAAAGAGATCCAGCTGTCAAAATACTGCATGCACTGAGTAGTTACAGCTACTGAAAGCACAGAAAACCAGTAAGAGAGTGCAATATCTAGAATGTCTCTCCCCACTACCCCCAGCATTTTATTATAAACTACTGCAGCAACTATTTAAAATCAAATTTTACGCTTAGACCAAGGAGGATTTAAAAACAGTAAGTGGCTGGATGTAAAAAGCATGAGAGTGGACTCAAATCCTAGCACTCTCACAGACTCCCCAAGAACTGAAATCAATGAATTTCCCTATTGCCACCATACTCAGTGCCTAGAACTGGATGTCAGCACTTTGTGTGATATTGATCTCACAAACCTTTTGTTCCCTACCCTGTTTTTCAGCAGTACAGGGCACCATGGGACCTCAGTTATTGCCTTATGGTGTTCCCTTGACTGTTGTGCACCCTCTGTGTGTTCTGTTGTTATTTATTTTGTTAACTCTCTCCTGGGCATGATACAGGAGTTTCTTTGCTGGGCTAAATATTGGTGTGTTGTGCTCACAGAACTGCAACTATGGAACCTGCTAAAGCACATTAGTTGTTTTATCACCTCTCTCCACAGTCACAGAATCACAGAACAGCTTGGGTTGGAAGAGGTTTTTAAAGGTCTTCCAGTCCAACTCCCTGCCATGGAAAGGGACACCTTCCACTATCCCAGGTTGCTCCACACCCCATCCAGCACGGCCTTGGCCACTTGCAGGGATGTGGCAGCCACAGCTTCTCTGGGCAACCTGCAGCAGTGTTCTACCACCCTCATTGCAAAAAACTTCTTCCTTACATCTAATCTAAACTGACTCTCTTTTAGTTTAAAACAATCATCCCTTGTCCCATTGGTACAGGCCCTGCTAAAAAGTTTGTCCTCATCTGTCTCGTAGACCCTTCAGGCACTGGAAGGGGTTCTCAGGTCTCCCTGGAGCCTTCTCTTCTCCAGGTGAACACCCCCAGCTCTCCCAGCCTGGCTCCAGAGCAGAGGGGCTCCAGCCCTCGGAGCATCTCCGTGGCCTCCTCTGGACTCGCTCCAGCAGCTCCACGTCCTGGTGCTGTTGTTCTCCAGGGCTGGAGGCAGCTCTGCAGGTGGGGTCTCACCTGAGGGGGCAGAGGGGCAGAATCCCCCCCTCTCCTGATGCCCACGCTGTAGGATGAGCCCAGGACAGGCTGGGAGTGCCCATGGCCAGGGCATGTCCAGCCTCTCACCTCCCAGAACCCCAAGTCCTTCTCCCCTGGGCTGCTCTCAGTCAGAGCTGTGAGTAGGACCTGCTGAATAGGGTCAGACCTGAGTGCCATCAAGCCACTCCACTTGCTGTAGAATTCACCACACCTGGTACATCACCTGCACTCACTCCTGAAAGCCTGGCTGGTCCCACTGGCCTTTCAACACTTAATGCTCCAGAGAAAGCAGGAGAAATTATGAGTCTTTGACAATAAAACGCCTTAACTGTTGCCAAATAAAACAGAGTTGTACGCATTTCTAGTGCTGAAAGAACAAGTTTCAGCTCCTTTTCCAGCCCCAGACTTGCAGTCAGTCCAACCTCAGGCATGTGAAATGCTTCTTCTCCACCCCCTACCTCACCCCTCATGGTTAAGCCTCTAATCTTATTTATACCTTCAAGGCCCCACTTGAATGTCACATTATTCCTTGTTTTCTCTTTAAACTGCTACTACAGATCTTGCAATGGAGAGAGCAGTGAGGAAAACAGGTTCAGGTGAAAATAAGAGTTGACTGAAGACACGTTAGCACAACATCTTACAAACTGTCACAGAGCTGCCATTTCCTTCTGTTAAATACATCCCAAGGGAAAGCTGTGGGGAAAATATTCAAGGGAAACCAGGAAGTTTGTCTTTCATTTGAGCAATATCAGTGTTTGCCAGAAGTGCACAGGGTTTTAAGGCCCCACAGTTGCCTAAAGAAAACACCTCATAGAGACACAAGGCTCCTGGAGTGGATAAGCTCTCCCAACTGAGCCTTGGATGCCAGATAACATCTCACAGGATCAGGTGACTAATGGAAATTAAAAAGGGAAAACCCAGAATGTAAACTCCTAATCTCAGTTGCTGCCAGTCCCTATCTGAAGAAATTGCACTGAATTAAGTCCTCCTTTTTGCCAAGTCTATAACACTTCTCACAAACACCATTCCCTCTCCCAGTGTCCGTGTTTCCCTGTCCCATGAGCACTAAGCAATAACAACACTGTTTATTTGAACACAGAGGTTTCCTTCAACACCTCTCAGCATTCATTGGAAAACAAGTGTTGTGATGCCCATTTTAGAGACTGGAAAATTGCAGATTTCCAAGATGTTGTAAATGATCTCAGGGAAATAGTATTATTATCTGATAATAATTCTGACATGACCTTTATTACTGCATGGTTATTTGTTACCAGTAAATGACTCCACTAACTGTTGAAGAACTCAGTTGTCAAAGACTGAGGCCAGGTTGGATGGACTTGGAGCAACCTGGTCTGTGGAAAATGTCCCTGCCCATGGCAGGGGGTTGGAATGAGATGATCTTTAAGGTCCCTTCCAACCCAAACCATTCCATGATTCTATGATAAGTAATTTTTACATATGCAGCCAGGAACGTTTCCCTGTTAGAGATGGTCTCCAAGGAGCCTGTAAATCCTTGGTGTGCCCAAACCAAGCATGAAACAACCCCCTTTGGACATTTGGTGGGATGTTTTAGTGTATCCAAGAAGTAATACTTCTTGGATACACTAAAAACTGATACACTATACACTGATATTCAGGGAATATCAGTTCTCTCATCTCAGAAGGATGTTGGGAAGATTTGGGGTTATCAGGGAATGGGGAAAAGGAGAGGTTGCTTCCTCATTTTGGTATCAAGTGTAGAGGATGAGGATGAGACTGCTCCTTCCAGGGAGTCTGGGAGCACCTCCTTGGGATGATTCTGGGGGCTGTGGTGGTATCAGTTCTGTGGTGGGATATCAGTTCTCTCATCAGGTTATCAGGTTCCAGACCTGGACCACCAAGGATTCAGTTCTCCAGGCAATACCAGGAGAACATTTTTGGAAGTATCAGATGTTTGGAGGAGGAAGTTTCAGGAGGATGTTGACTGACCAGGAGATTGGTGACTTCAGGGTGTATCTGTCCCTCTAAGGGGGGTGGGTGGATCCAGAACACAATAATGTTGGGATGATTTGAGGGATTAATTCCTAAAGGAGGACTGCTTGAGGTTTGGACAGTGTGTGTTCTCTTGGGTATTTCCAGTTGAGCAGGTATCAGGTGAATTTAAGGGTCCTGGTTCAGGGCAGTGTCACAAGGAGTTGAACGTTTCAAACACATTCCCTTGGAGAAACTTGGAGATGGTTCAGAGAAACAGCAGTCTTCCTGAGGGAATCAGGTTTCAAGACCGTAAAGTGAGTTTGGGGATTTCCCTTGGGGCATCACATGAACTGGTTGGGGAATTATTGGATGGGTTCAGGGGTACTGGATCTCCATGGGGTGAGTTTGCAGACAGCAGTTCTGCAGTTATGGAAAAAGCTTTTGGAATCTCAAATGAGGCCGGTGTGTGTGTGTGCCCTCTCCAAAGCTATCAGAACAAATTCTGATTTGTTATGAGATGGGCATGTGATGCAATGGATTCCTTGGGGGACAAGACTAAAAGCACCAAGACCCCTGGAACACACTTGTAATTACAAGTGTGACTGGGAGAACTCAGGGAGTATCAGATCAGCTGTGAGTAGGGTCAGGGGATACCAGGTGGGTTCAGAGCCTTCAGGTCCCCCAGAAGTGAGTTCAGCAGGGATCTGTGGGAAACACCAAGTTCCTTGGGAAGAGTTCAGTGGATATTAGGTCTGCTGGGGAGCATCAAATGAGGTTATAGGGCACCAGGTTCCTTGAGGGTCACATCACAGGGCACCAGGGTCTGGTCAGGTTGAGAGGTGCCAGGTTCTCATGGGTTCACATGATGCCACGTTGCCTCAGGGATATTTGGTGAATTCAGGAGGTACCAGGGCTCTCCAGGGAATTACAGGGTAGTCTGAGGAACAGGATGTTCACTTGGCGTGGGTTCAGGGGGTAACATGTCCCCTCTACTCTGCTCTTGTGAGATCCCACCTGCAGTGCTGCATCCAGCTCTGGGAACAACAGCAGAAGGACTTGGAGCTGCTGGAGGGAGTCCAGAGGAAGCCACGGAGATGCTCCGAGGGCTGGAGCCCCTCTGCTCTGGAGCCAGGCTGGGAAAGCTGGGGGTGTTCACCTGGAGAAGAGAAGGCTCCAGGGAGAGCTTAGAGCCCTTTCCAGTGCCTAAAGGGGCTCCCAGAAGAGCTGGAGAGGGACTTGGGACAAGGTATGGAAGGACAGGACAAAAGGGGAATGGCTTCCCACTGGCATAGGGAGGGGTTTGATGGGATATTGGGAAGGAATTCTTGGCTGTTAGGGGGTGGTGAGGCCCTGGGGCTGGTTGTCCGGAGAAGCTGTGGCTGTCCCTGGATCCCTGGAAGTGTCCAAGGCCAGGCTGGACAGAGCTTGGAGCAATCTGGGACAGTGGAAGGTGTCCCTGCCCACGGCAGGGGGTTGGAACGAGATGGTCTTTAAGAGCCCTTCCAACCCAAACCTTTCCATGATTCCATGAATATTAGTTGACTTTAGGGGATACCAGGTCTCCGGTGGAACTAGAGGAGGGTCTGAGGCAGTACCACATTCCCAAGGGGTGTCTTCATGGGACACGAGGTCCCCCGACGAGTCTCTGGTGCCCCTGGTCGGGGTCAGTCCCTGGGGACAGGGGTACGGCGGAGGGGACAGCGGGCGGGCGCGCTCACCGTGGGGTCCCTGACGGCACAGCCGGGGAGGAAGGGCAGCCCCGGCCCCGGCCCCGGTCCCGGTCCTAGGGCCGGTACCGGTGCTGGTCCCGGTCCCGATCCTGACTCCAGTGCCGGTCCTAATTCCGGTCCCGATCCCGATCCCGGTCCCGCGCTCATGGCGGCGCTCCCGGCCCGGCCCCGCCGACGCGTCTCCACGGCAACCGCCGCAGCGCTCAGTGCGCAGGCGCGGGCCCTTCCGCGCGCCTCGCTCCGCGCCTGCGCAGCGAGTGCCGCGGGCCGTGACGGCGCGGGGAGGGCGGGGAGGGAGATGGGGGGGGGGGATGGATCCTCCTTACGGTGTATCGGGGGGCTGTTCGGCCCCTGCAGTGTGGAAACAAGCGCACAGAAAGAGTTACTCTTCTTTCATTTGGGGTTTCCCCCTCACGGCGTCCTCATGACCTCCTCACAGTCCTTTCACGGCCCCTTCAAAGTCCGCTCATAGCCCCGCATAGCCCCCTCGCATCCCACCGTATATACCCTTAAAAGCCTTTCACGTCCCCCTCACATCCCACTCACAGCCCCTCATAGACCCTACAGCCCCTCACAGCCCCTCATAGGCCCTATATCCCATCACAGCCCCTCATAGACCCCATATCCCTTCACAGCCCCTCACAGTCTTAGAGCCCCTCACATCCCACTCACAGCCCTCCCCCCAGCCCTCTCACATTAAAATATCTTGGCCTCCAAAACGGGTGGTAGCATCCAAGCCACTTTTCTTGGGAAGTTTTCCCTGCCCGGTGCAGTGCCCAGGGTGAGGAGTAGCCACGGAGGGTCGAATACATACCTGGAGTGCTTGAAACATTTTAACAGAAGTGGTTGTGCTGGTTTATAATGTATATAGTAGGTATATGAGCTGTGAAATAGTGGGGATTTAATACGTAGCACTGATATAATCACTCTCTTTCAAACATGATGTTCACCTCTGAAGGAAGGGGCAAAAACAAGCAGCAGGGAGACCATCAAGGAAAAGGTGGTTGTGTAAAAGTCACTCCCAAAAGCAAGAGAGAAAAGAGAGCGAAATCCATTACCATGGAAGAGCAAAGTTACTTGTGGATTTCCCATTCCTGGAAGTGTTCAAGGCCAGGCTGGATGGGGCTTGGAGCAACCTGGGATAGTGGAAGCTGTCCCTGCCCATGGCAAGGGTTTGGAATGAGATGATCTTTAAGGTCACTTCCAACCCAAACCATTCTGTGACTCTGTGATTCTATGAAGAAAAAAAAAAAAAAAGTTTTTTTGTGTGTCTTTGCCTTGTTCTCTTTATCAGCAGCACACAAGACGAGCCAGGCTGCGATCCAAGGGCAGGCAGCAGATCCGAGGGTTTTGTAAGCAGAAGTTAAGCGGGGAGAAAGGCAGCCAGACCGTCTGTCTGAGCACGGTGTGGGAGAGAGAAGAAAGCCAGCCGGTGGGAGATAAAGAATGAGGCTGATGAGCTTAGAAAGGAAAATAATGGATTGGAGGCCAAGCAGGGCTGGAAGGGCTGGATCTGGAAGACAGCAAAGCTGCTGGTGTGACGGCTGACTCAGAGGCAGGTGCCGGGACCGAGGCATTTGCTCTGATTTTCTCATGCTGTGATATCCAGGCAATGTTTTGCAGGGAGCAAGGCCTTGCTCAGAGAAGGAAACTCGCCTCCGTGTGCCAGGGATCATCCCTGAGGAGACTGACAGCGAGTTTGTGACAAGGCTGTGTGTCACAGTGCTCCTGCACAGACTGTAATGATGATGGGGTGGCAGAGCTGGGGATATTCAGCCTGGAGAAGAGAAGGCTCCAGGGAGACCCTAGAGCCTGCCTCTTCCACTGCCTAAAGGGGCTCCAAGAGAGCCAAAAAGGGATTACTTATAAGGGTATCTGGTGATAGGATAAGGGAAAACGGTTTTAAACTGTAAGAGGGCAGGTCTGAATTAGGTATTAGGAATAAATTCTTCATCCCTGAGGGTGGTGAGGCCCTGGCACAGGTTGCCCAGAGAAGCTGTGGCTGTCCCACCCCTGGAAGTATTCCAGGCCAGGTTGGACGGGGCTTGGAGCAACCTGGTCTAGAGGAAGGTGTCCCAGCCCATCGCAGGGGCTTGGAACTAGATGAGCTCTAAGGTCTCTTCCAGCCCAAATCATTCTGTGATTCCGTGAAAGGAAGCTTAAGGAAAACCATAGCAGAAGCTGGTGCTTTCTTAGGAATAGTGACTGTAAAGCAGGAGAGAGGAAAAATGAGGAATAAAGAATTGAAGTGCAACCCAGAAGATCTGGATTCAGCTTTGACAACTTCTTCATAGACAACTGTGAATTACCAATCTTAAGATGAGTCTTTTTAGCTTCCTACATCCCTGTATCCCTACATCCCCATCTACCCATGAAAGGGAAAAGGGATTCTTGATCGGGCTCTGCTTTCGTGGCACTGGAGGACACAGATGGAGACAACTCGCCCTCTGGCGGGTAAAAACACAACAGCACAGAAGCCTTTGTGTGTTATATTAAGAAATACTTAAAAGTGTTGGTTAATAGAAGGAAAAATATAAGATTTTTAGCAGTTTTGAGTGCTGAAATTCACACAAGTGTACATCCTGGGGGATGAGGTATGAATGTGATCACACATGATCCTCCTGGGCAAGGCTGGTAAGTTGAGGACCTGGAACAAGGTGACAGAAAGGGATCACAAAATCAACAATTTTCCACCGGGATTGAAAAATCCCTAAAACTGAGATCCCTAAATCTGGGAAGTCAGTGTGCTGGGGTGTCTCTCTGAAGTGTCTGTAAAGAGCTCAGGCAGTGTGGGGACTTGGCATGATGAATCAGAGCCATGTGTGCATCCACAGGACTATGATCTCAGCATCGTAGGAAGACGTGGTGGAATGGCTCCCATGACCCAAGTGTTGCAATGGAGGGATATAGAGAGTCTTTTTAAGGGCACCTCTAAGAAGATGAGGAAGGGGAGCTGCCCTTTAGGAGTGCATGGAGTTTTTCCTGGATGATAAGAGCTTACAGTGAAGGATTAGAGATGATCTATATGAGGACAGTGTAGTGGGCAGCTGCCTCTTTGCAGGCCTTGGTCCTTATGGGGGGCTTCAGCCAACCCTGATATCTGCTAGAAGGAAAATGTAAGAGAGATGGAGCACCTCTCCTACAAGGAAAGGCTGAGAGAATTGGGATTGTTCAGCCTGAAGAAGAGAAGGCTTTGGGGTGACCTAATTGTGGCCTTCTGTTACCTACAGGAAAGATGGAGATAAACTTTACAAGGGCCTGGAGTGACAGCACAAGGGGGATTGGATTCAAACTGAGAGAGGGCAGGTTTAGATTGGGTATTAGGATGAAATTCCTCCCTGTGGGGGTGGTGAGCCACTGGCACAGGCTGTCCCGAGAAGCTGTGGATGCCTGATCCTTGGAAACGTTCAAGATCAGGTTGGATGGAGCCCTGAGTAACCTCATCTAGTGGAAGGTGTCCCTGCCCATGGCAGGGGGATTGGAACTAGATTGTCTTTAAGGTCCTTTCCAACCCAAACTATTCTATGATTCTATGATGAGTAATCCAGAAGGTTCCTGGAAAGCAGTGCTGATAATTCCTTCATCCCAGTGACTAAGGAGCCAGCAGGGAGAGGTGCTTTGCTGGACATCATACTCACCATCTAGGGTTTGTTGGGGATAAATCAAAGGCAGCCTTGGCTGCAGTAACCATGAGATGGTGGAGTTCAGGATCCTGAGGGGAGGGAGGAGGGTAAAAAGCAAATTCACAACTCTGGGCTTCAGGAGAAGAATTTGGCCTCTGCTGAGATCTCTACCTGATTGGTAGAGTCCTGTGGGATAAGGCCTGGGGAGGAGTCATCTCCTCCAAGCTCAGGAACAGTCCATTCCAATGAGCAGAAAGCTGGGCAAAAATGACATCAGGCCTGCATGGATAAACAGGGAAAACTCAAACAAGCAGCACAGAGAAGGTGAAAGCAAGGACATGGATAGCAAGGAATATAAAGACATTATCCAAGAGAGCAGGGATGAAAAAAGGCAAAGCCCAACTGGAATATGTCCAGGAATATAAAAGACAACCAGAAGGGTTTCTGTAGGTGCATAGGTGACAAAAGGGAGATTAGGGAAAATGTGGGCCCATTACTTAGCAAGATGTGGAAGCTGGTTACACAGAACATGGAAAAGCCTTCTTCACCTTCGTATTTACTAACTAGCCTTCAGGAATCCCAGGTTCTTGAGACCACTGGAAAAGGCTGGAGCAAGGAATACATACCTCAGTGAAAGACCATCAAGTCAGGGAATATTTAAAGGATCTTATCAATGTATATAAATCCCTGAACCTCTGGAGGGTGCAAAGAAGATGGAGCCAGGATTTGTGTCAGGTCCCAGTGCCCAGGACCAAAGGCCATCACACTGGAACAGGAGATTCCTCTGAACATCAGGAAACATTTTTTTTTATTCTGAGGGTGGCCAAGCACTGCCACAGGTTGCCCAGAGAGGTGATGGTGTCTCCATCCTTGGAGATCTTCAAAATCCACCTGGACATGGACCTGGACAGCCAGCTCTGGGTGGCCCTGCCTGAGCAGAGCCAGGTGACTCCTAGAGGTCTCTTCCAAACTGAACCATTCCGTGGCTGTGGGTGATGAACTCAAATCCCTCTAATCAGTGTCAGGGCAGCCATTGTGAACTTCCCTTGTAGAAAGGGAATGAAATCCAATATTTATTGTGAAGCCTGTGAAGTGCTTTGCGATGCACAGACAAAACCACTCCCTATTGTTCATTATTATAATTATTATCCACTCTAATATATCCTCTCCATAATTATTATCCCCCTTTCTTCCTAATGACTCATGACCTTCTGTAGTTGCGCATTTGGGAATTTCACACCACACAAGTTGTTTTGCTTTCATAGATTTTTTTTTTCCCCACTAAGGTTTTAAATAAAGATCAGTACAGTACAAAGCTTAAAATATTGTCAATGTTTTCAACATTACAAAGTCAGCAGATGGGAGTTGGGAAGGGAATGGTTAATATGGAACACTCATACCCTTCCCTGTTTCCCAGAGGAAAAAAAAATACAAACTCTTTTGTACTTCTGTTTAGTTACAAACAGTGCTTAAAAATAATCTTGTCAGTAAAAGTTGTAAATTGCAAGGCACATGAGGAACCCG